AAAACTCAGTTCAAAAGCTCCTAAAATCATAACACTTACTGTTACAGTGATAGTTTGTATTTGCTTAAATTGAATTTTTAGGTATACTTTAATTTATAAGCATTCTTAGACATTGGTGCTCATTTGATTTTCATAGTGATTTAAAGTATTTAAATAGTAAGTTTTCTGATAGCTCCAGATGCTGCTCAAAAAAGATTAAATTCTATCACATGAGACATCATTACAGATTTTGTAAGAAGTATCAAGATGAATATGGTGCTTCCTCTATCATTCCACACTTTCTCTAGATTCAGTAAGGACCGGTAATAGTGAATCACCTGATCTGATAACACAGAAACTTATCAAGAGGATACAAGTTCTTCAGGGCATCCCACCTTTAAATGTCTCTTATGTCAAGAGTCAAATTTCACGAGACAACGTTTATTGGATCACTGTAATAGTAACCATCTATTTCAGACAGTTCCTGTGAATCTTCAATTAGATGAGGAAATCCAATATCAAACTGCTGTCGAAGAGTCTTTTCAAGTAAACATGGGGTGCATATAGACATCTCGGCAACCTTGCTACCTACAAGTGCCATCTTTAAGTAGAAGACATGAGGTCACTTGTTTCAGTCATTTCCTGTGCATATTAATAAAAATAACAATTCAGTCTACTGTATTAGGTTTTTATTTGAAAATAATGGTGGGCCACCCTAACTCCACTCTCTAGACTTGTATAGTGAAGAAGGAATCTCTGTTGTGTTTTTCTTCCTTGTATTACATATTCTGAATGTTCCACTCAGTTGTTTTTGATATTTGATAGAGTTCCTTCTATTTAGTAAAGAAATAATAGCAAATTCTGAAAGATGTGATTCCTATAACTATTAAACCTGAGCCATTTGTCAGAGTTGCAGAATGGAAACAATGCTGTGCTAAGTGGATAGTCCAAGGGGATTTTTGTTTTTTAAGTATAAATTCTACCTGAGGAATTCAACAATAAGAAAATTGTATTTATTTTTGAAGACTAGTGAGATTTCTTTAATAATTTTGACTTTGAAAGCATATTATACAAACGTTTCTTCTTTTGCTATTAGAAGAATATATCAAGAGAAGGAAAAAAGTTTTCTTTGGAGGTTAGTTTGTTATTTCAATCTAGGTTGAGTAATTCATAAGCCTAAATACATGGCACAACAGTTCTTTGTAGTCAGTGTTTCTCACTAGCTGATGAAACTTCTCAGTCAGGGAATGATATACTAGATTTAAATTGGTTTTTTGAAAATCCAATGTTGCAGATGTATGTGGATATGTACATTTTTGCATGTATATATGCACATATATATCTTTGCCTAGAGTTTAACAGGCTATGTATAAAATTTCTATTAAAGAGTTTTAATAATGGACAAACAATATAGGATCGAAGTATTTATCTCACTTGTTTAAAATTTTGTATGTTACCAGGTTTTTAAAATAGTAAGCCAAAGACTTGCATGGTACAGTTGGCTGTTATTACATCTGAAAAATGAGTTCAATGGTGCTCACTTATTATGTTTAAAAATGATGCATAGGTGATGTGGCGAGAGATTTTACCAGCTACAGTCTCACTGTATTTTAGTCAAAATCATGTTTGTTCTTAATCTTTGGCATTAAGTATTGTAGAGAAGGCCCAGTCACAGAGTAGAGAGTGAAGGGTGAATTCCTCACCTCCCACGTTAACATACACTGTTATGCTTTCTTTAAAATAACTAAATACAAAAGAGAATCTCTGAAGTAGTTTGCTGCTAATATATACATATATTATTTTTTAAAAGGTATATTTTGATTTTCTTAACACTCTCATTGACTTTTCTACAATGAACATTTTTTTAACTTGATTTAATAAAAATGTTAGTTTTGGATATACAAAAAAAATCCCAGAGAGAATAAAATAAAGGGCTTCCAAAGTAGATAATTTCTGATTATTTATATAAATCAGATTGGAAGGGCTCAGAGGCAAAAGTTTTGCCAAGCCTGAGTTTGATTCCCAGGACCCATAGGGTGGAAGACGATAATCAATTCCACAAGCTGCCTTCCGACCCCCACGTCAAAAACCCATACACAAAAAATCACACAAAACAAGATTGCAAAGAATGTAATAATGAAGGTAAAACAAACTGGACAATAATGGCACATATCTTTAATCCCAGTACTCTAGAGGCAGAGGCAGGCGGACCTCTGAGTTCAAGGACAGCCTGGTCTACAGAGCGAGTTTCAGGATATCTAGGGCTCCACAGAGAAACCATGCCTTGAAAAGCCAACCAACCAACAAACAAATAAGACATCAGCAAGCTGTCTAGTGCAGTAGGAGTCACCAGTCTTTATTATCTCACCTACACTCATTACCAATACTACTCTGACACCTGCACCTTGGTGAGACCATCAGAGCTTTGTAAAAACCTCAGAGTTTTGGAATGTACTTGAAAATCATCATAAACAATACCTAATGAAAACTACAAAAGAAGATTAGACAAATACTATTACTTTATATCATCCATTTATCATAAGTACAGTTACACAGAAGAATCTCCAGACTCAGGGTTTCTCTATAGGAAAAGGACAACTGGAAGCAGACATGTAGTCTCACTAATATAAGACATTTACCAAGAATCCCAGTCTTAAGACAGGGTGAAAATTGGGGGTAACACCAGCTAGACCTGAGACCACATAGAAACAAAACAAGAGAGCAGAGGTCACAGTGACCAACACGGGACCTTAGTGGAAGCTCTATGCACCTGGTACATGGGAGTGGTACCCAGCAAGAAATAACAGCCAACTGCAGATCCCATGTGCAAAACTAAGTGGGTTACTCAAGAAGTGATGGGAGGTTCTATTTGACAGAGATCCCTAGTACCTAAGCCTCCAGGCCATACCCTCAAAACTCATACTAAGACCACAAGGAAAAAGAAACCACCACAGCAAATTTAGCAAAGAGCAGTGACCAATTCTGGCAGAGGCTGGAGTTAACCAATGCTAAAAAAGCTCAGCCTCAAAAACACTCCACAATCCTGCTGGGGCAGAGAACCAGTCGCAACTATGAATGTCCACTGAGCTCTGCACCTGGTCCCATTCATACTGAGCAGCAAATCCATCTAACACTGGGTCTCATCCTAAAGATCTTGAACAAGTTGGGGTTTCTATTGCTGCAATGAAACACCATGACCAAAAGCAAGCTGTGAAGGAAAGGGTTTACTTGGCTTACACTTCCACATCTTAGTCCATCACTGAAGGAAAAAGACAGGACAGGAACACAAACAGGGGAAGAATTCTTACTAATTTTCACAAAGAACCAACTTGTTGTTTCATTGATTCTTTGTGTTTTGTTTTTGTTTCGTTGTTTGATTCTCTTTTGCTCATTTTAACCCTGTGTTTGATTATTTCTTACTATCCACAATTTCTGGTTCTGATTTTTTCTTCTAGAGCTTTCAGTTGTGCTGTTAAACTTTTTGTATGAGCTCTATCCAGATTTTTTATGTAGGCACTTAGCTTGCCTGTTAGAGCCACCTTCATTGTGTTCTGTAAGCTTGGGTATGTTGTGTATTCATTTTCAATTCTAGAAAGTCTTAATTTCTATCTTGACTCATTTTCATTCAGTACTGAGCTGTTCATTTTCCACAAGTTTGTATGGTTTCTGTTGTTTTTGTTATTACGTCAAGCTTTAATCTGTGGTGACTGGACAGAATGTAGGAAGTTTTTTCAGTTTTCTTGGATCTGTTGAGACTTGTTTCGAGTTCAAGTATGAGATCAATTTTGGAGAAAGTTCTATGAGGTACCAAGAAGATGATATATTCTTTTGTATTTCAGTAAAAATATCCACTAAATATCTCTTGGTTCCAGTATTTCTCTGTTTAGTTTCTCTCTGGATGACCTGTCTATTGATGAGAGTGTGATATTGAAGTCTCCCACTATCGGTGTGTGAGGGTCAGTATGTGATTTAAGATACAGCAATATTTCTTTTGGAAATCTGGGTGTCCTTATATGTGGTGTGTAAATGTTAAGAATGCCAATGTCTCCTTGGTGGGTTTTTTTTCTTTAACGAGTATATAGTGTCCTTCCATATCTCTACTGATTATTTTTAATTTGAAATCTGTTTTGTCAGATATTAAAATGGCTATATCAGCTTAAGTTGTTAGGTTTATTTGCTTATAATTAACTTTTTCCATCCTTTTACCCTGAGGTGATGTCTACTCTTGATAAAGATAGATATTTTTGGATGTAGCAGCAGGATGGATCCTGTTTTCCAATCCATTCTGTTAGTCTGTGTCTTTTTATTGGGAGATGAAGACAACTGATGTTGAGAGATATGATTGAGTGGTGTTTGTTGATTCCTGATATTCTGTTGTAGGGTGTATAGTCTCTCTTTATTTGGTGATCTGAGTTTATTTATTCCACAGGTGTGGTTAACCTTTTTAATGGAGTTTTCCTAAAGTCTTCTGTAAGTCTGGATTTATAAACAGATATTGCTCATATTTGGTTTTATCATGAAAGGTCTTATTTTTCCCATCTATTGTTATTGAAAGTTTTGCCAGGTATAAAAGTAAAACAGAATCAGTAAGCGAGGCATGGTGGTTCATGGTGGTCTTTAACTTGTTGTCTTGGCTGGGATCTGTGGTCTCTTAAAATCTGTAGAACATCTGTCCAGGCTCTTCTGGCTTTTAGAGTCTCCATTGAGAAGTCATAGGTAATTCTAACAGGTCTGCATATGCATATATATGTATGTATGTATATATATGTATATATCTGTGTGTGTCTCTGTGTGTGTGTCTGTGTGTGTCTGTGTGTGTATATATATGTATATATATATATATATAATTTAATAGTCTTTCTTTGTTCTGTAAGTTTAGTATTTTAGTTATGGTCTTCTGGTTCATTGTATTTGGTGTTCAGTATGCTTCTTATATCTTAATAGGCCTTTCTTTCTTTCTTTCTTTTCTTTCTTTCTTTCTTTCTTTCTTTCTTTCGGTTAAGAAAATTTTCTTGGTTTTTCAGGACTCTTTGCAAGGGTAGCTGGGGTAAATTTGCACCAAGGTAGCAGCTGTAGTAGCCGCAGTTCCATCTCCGATTCCACGATGTTGCCCTTGGCCAAAAACGCACTAAGCCGTCTCCAAGTTCGAAGCATTCAGCAAGTGGTGGCAAGGCAGAGCCATCAGAAGAGGACACCTAATTTCCATGATAAATATGGAAATGCTATATTAGCAGGTGGAGGCATCTTCTGTATATCTACATGGACATATACAGCCACACAAATTGGAATAGAATGGAACCTGTCCCCTGTTGGCAGAGTCACCCCAAAGGAATGGAGAGATCAGTAGTCATGTCAGCTGGTACAATAATCAAGGAATTGTTTCCAAACTAACTCATAAGTGAATGCCAAGTCAAAGAATCATGTACTCATTAAACTATGGCAGACTGAAAAACTAATAAAGAAATAAAGTATTTGAAACCTTCAAAAAAAAAAAAAAGAAAATTTTCTTTCCAGGCGGTGGTGGTGCACGCCTTTAATCCCAGCACTTGGGAGGCAGAGGCAGGCAGATTTCTTAGTTCGAGGCCAGCCTGGTCTACAGAGTGAGTGTCAGGACAGCCAGGGCTATACAGAGAAACCCTGTCTCGAAAAAACAAACAAAAAACAAAAAAACAAAAAAAAATTTTCTTTTATGGTTTTGTTGAAGGTATTTTCTGTGCCTTTGACCTGGGTTTCTTCTCCTATATTCCTATTATTTTTAAATCTAGTCTTTTCATAGTATCCCAAATTTCTTGGATGTTTTGTGCCAGTTGGTTTCTAGAGTTAACATTTTCTTTAAGCTATCCATTTATTCTCTTGTGTCTTTAGTATCTAAGAGTCTCTCTTCTATCTCTTTATTCTGCTGGTGAGGCTTACCTCTGTTTTAAGTTCCCAGTTTTTCATTTCCAGACTTTCCTCAGTTTTTGGTTTTCTTTACTGATTTTATCTATTTGTTTGTTTGCGTGCTTTGGTTGTGTTGTGTTGTTTTGTTTTGTCTGAGACTAGGCTTCTCTGCATAGCCCTTTGTAGGACAGGCTGGCCCCAAATTCACAGAGATCCAGCTGCATCTGCTTCCTGAATGCTGCAATTCAAGTTAAAGACCACCGTGAACCCCCATGCCTCACTTACTGATTCTATTTTTACTTTCAGGTTTTGTACTGTTTTCTTCATTTTTTTTCACTGTTTGTGCTTTCATAAATTTCTTTTTTAAGGTATGAAGTGGAAATTTTGGAAAGTCAGTTGTGTTGGATGGTGTTTTGCTGGGGCAAACACATGAAGGGTGAAATTCTAAGGCAGACTCATGAAGGAATGTTTTGCTGAAGCAGACATAGGTGATAGGATGTTCTGCTAAAGCAAGCACAAGAAAGGACACATGATGAAGGACTGTTTACTAATGACATGCAAGTATTGGTGTACCTTACACTGCAAAGTTGAGCTGCATTTATTGGGACTCCATAGAGAGAAACGCACCAAAAAAATTTCTAGTGGTATGCTGGTGGCTTCTTGCCACTTCTGCAGACTTGGGCCAATTGGCAGAGTGATGCCTGCTCAAACAGACTCACATGGAGTTTTGCTAAGACAAGCTGAGGCAAGATACGTGGTGAGGCAAAGCATGTGGAAGACACATGATGTTTGGAGGGAGAATAAATAGAAGTCAACAGACAGTGATGGAGGCTTAGCTGGGCTTGCCTATAAAGCTAGCTGTGCAATGCTTATTGGTTTTACATCTTCACTGATCTTCTTTGCTTCCCTATGAGAGGCACACTGGAGAACTTTTCCTGGCATTCCTGTTGGCCCTGGTCCCTCCTGCTGACTACAGCCAAAGCTGAGGACTGGCTGTCTCTGCTAGGTCTTGCCATTACTGCTGGTTTGTGTGTGACTTCCTCTTTAAGAACCTCTATCACACTCACACTATTTTCAGGTCTATTTTAAAGTCTTTTTCCTGTGTTTCGGCTACATTGCAATATTTGGGGCCTACTGTGGTAGAGCTGCTGCTGGGCTCTAATGGAGCCATTGTTCTGGCTATTGATTGTGTTTTTTATGCTGGCATCTGGCTATCTGCTTCCCTGGCTGGAGCACTTACTATCAGCTTTAATTAGTCTTTTATATTTTATATAAGCTTTATAATAGAAAAAATCTAAAGCATACACTATAGAAAGCCATTGAGGACAGAAACAAAGGAAGAAAGTGTATACAAGAAAATAAATTTTAGAATACAGTCCAAGAATGGAGTCATGGGAGAGAAATTCTGAGCACTTGTGAGAACACTAAGAAAATGACAAGAATTTTGTTACTTCACTTTATTCAAGACATGGAATTGTGCTTTTATGTCTCTAGGCATAGCAGATAAGAATGAATTTGCTTCCGATTATTCATTACAACGGGTTATTATTCTTTGTTCACATGCTGCTATGGAAAAATGTGATTTTTGCCATGTGAGGTTGGTCCTTGGGGTTCTACACTTTACTCAGGTGACTCTTGTTAATACTAAGATTATAAATTGTCTGATGTTCTGAATAAAGTTGGCTACTGCCTGAGACTTTAGTCCACATCATTTTTAGACTTCATTTCCCAGATCCTACTCCCTCAAGAGTGGTAAACACTGACTATCATTTAGCAACTAGTCACACACTGGATAAGAAGATCTGAAGCAACTTTTGCTTCTCTTTTGATATTTAATTCAAAACTATTTCATTGCTTGAGTCAAAACTTGTGTTTAGATTGCTGATAATAGCAACATTATTTGCTAGTGCAAAGTTAGAACCTGAATCAATTTAGAGACAAAAAGTAGAGTACTTCTGAGCAAATTGCACCCTATTTGATTTGAGATTAAATGCTAAAAAGTAGACATGAGAGGCTAGGGAGAGGCTAAAGCACTAACTATGTGAGCATGAGGACCTGAGCTCATACCTCCAGCACCCACATAAAAGCCAGATATGCTGGCTTGCATCTGTAGAACTAACATTGATGAGGCAGAGATACCAGAACCTAGGGACTTGCTGGAGAAATGACAAATTCCAGGTTCAAAATTTTAGGTGGAAGCCTGGATAGACACCTCAACATGTAAGAAGACTTACTATTCTTCCAAAGGAACTGAGTTTGATTCCAGCACCCACGTTGGACAGTTTAAACCTGCTTATAACTCTAGCTCCAGGAGACCCACTATCCTCTTCTGTTAATGTACTCAACACACCATACCCCATCATAGATACGCATACACAAAACAATTTTTAAAAAAACTTTGAAATAAATAAGGTGGAGAATAATAGAAGAAAATATCCAGTATCTGATCTACATATGCATAGGCACAGGCAAGAGCAACCACGCCCACATACACCATACCTACTAAAAATAGAGGGGGGAAAAGGAGTAATGTGGAAATTAAAATCATCTTCTAGCTAATAAAATGATAAATACTGTTATTTATATATCACTGAATCATTTCACTGTATACAACACAAAATAAAAATCTTAATTCTCTACCAGTAAAAAAAAAAATGATTAATAAAAATCATATTCACAGTAAACATCAAGCTATCCAAGAAGGTGGCTTTATGGTGCTGCACAATAACTACATCATGATAGGGAAGTGCAGGTACTAGTCAGCTTTCAAGGAGACTATCTCTCGGCAATGCCATGACAACCACGTTCAAACTCACCCATTGTGTCTACTCCTTTCCTGCCAGCACGACCAACCATCTGCTTATAAGTGAGGATATCTAAAGGCTGACCACTGAAAATTGGAGTGCGAATAATCACCCGACGAGCAGGAAGATTCACTCCAGAAGAAAGAGTAGACGTTGCTGCCAAGACCCGAATAAAACCTTGACGGAAGGCTCCTTCAATGATATCCCTCTCCTCAAAAGTAAGACCTAAATAAAATACAAGTCCAAAAACATTACCACAGAACCAATACACTGGATCACTTATAAACAGATTTGAGAGTCAGCTACAAGCTGTTAAAAGATCTTTTATTGTAAACAAAACATCTTCACTACATATTTAAGAGTACAATCTGCCATATTTAGACATCATTTAGGTAAGTCAGCAAAATGACCTATGTTTTAAGTGGAAATGGTAGTTTCTGCAGAAACTACTTACCCTGCTTTTGGTAAATGAAAGCAGCAGCAGATCAAGTAAGTGGAAGTGTGTTTCAATAACATTTTATTTAGGAGAACAAACAGCAGGTTAAATCTAACAGCATACTACTGATTAACAACCCCTGTGTTTCTATGTATGGATATGTATTTACACATACATATTTTAAAAATTTGTCTTAAAATTGTATCATATATATATATTATATATGATAAAAAGCTGAATAGAAATGAAAGGATTAAATTTACAGTCTTAGAAAATATTCTTATGATTACAATCTTAACACATATAATCAGAGACAAGCACTTCATTCAGCGACTGTCTTACCACTGGCGATTCTGACAGCCTACCTACTGTTTTGGTTTTGTTTTTTTTAAGTCTTCGCCAATTCAATGACAATTCCTAAAATATATTTGACTTTGCTATATATGTGACACTATGTCAATACTTGATATTTTAAGGAAACAACATATAGATAGGTTAAAAACTTTAGAATTCACTTTCCCAATGGTTTAAAACAAAAATCCATTATCAAGTATATCTATACAATTCAGATAAATATTTTTAAAATGCTTGTTTTACTCTGGTTTCACTGATCCTCTGTTTCTTAAAACAAATTCTACAAGTAGTAAGTGTGGTTAACAAGAAATACATCCACATAAATGCAAAAATGAAGAAATTATGAAAGTCTGATAAGATTTTTTTTTTCTTTTTTTGGTTTTTCGAGACAGGGTTTTTTTTGGTTTTTCGGGCTGTATAGCCCCGGCTGTCCTGGAACTCACTCTGTAGACCAGGCTGGCCTCGAACTCAGAAATCTGCCTGCCTCTGCCTCCCAAGTGCTGGGATTAAAGGCGTGCACCACCTCTGCCCGGCTGGTTTTGTAAATCTTTTTAGATTTATTTTATTATGTGTTTGTAAGTGAACCTATGTTCATATGCACATATAAATCTATGTGCAGTACATGTGTGCAAGAGCTCATGGAGAACTGAAGTGGAAATCAGATCCCCTGGAACTGGACTCAAAGGGAGTCTGCCACACAGGTCCTGGGAATCAAAACCCAGTTCTTCTGCAATAGCCACAAGTGCTCATCATCACAGTTATGTCTCCAATCCATGAGAACATGTCAATACAAGATTATAAGTAAGGAATACCTGCATGATGAAATGCTACTCCCCATGGCACAGTATTCTTGAGCACAGAGTCTAGTCCTGAAGGTGAACGTTTTAACTGATCCATCACTTCCAGAAGGCTCTTTTGGTCTAGAATCACTGGTAGAAATTCAGATGATTTTACTAACCCTATCAAACACACACAAAAAATTAATTAATTAGTTAATTAATTAATTAAATTGCCAACT